TGTCGAATTCCTCTGTTTCTTCTCCATAGACCCGAATCCGGGCCTTCGTGCAACGGTAGTATGATCTCATCAAGTTAACGAGTTTAACCGGCACGCCATCGGCAAGTAGGATTCTCCAGAGTGCTTCGCGGTCAACTGAGTCAAAGGCAGCTCGAAAATCAACGAAGCACACAAACGTGGGCTGCTGGAACTGGTAGCGGTGTTCGAGTACTCGACGTAGAGTGAAGATTTGGTCAGTGCAGCCTCTGCCTGGACGAAAGCCACCTTGGTTATGGCGAGTTCGCAGGTTCCTCTCATTGGCAAAGCGGGAAAGCAAGATTCGTGCGAAGGTTTTGGCAGCCACATCGATTAGGCTAATCCCGCGATAATTACTGCACACAGTTCGGTCACCTTACTTGGGCAATGGCAGTAGTACTGAGGTACTTCATGAGGAAGGACAGATTTCGGTCTCCCATATCGAGCAGAAGAGCTCGTGCAAATGGTCAAGGAGAGTTAGTAGACAAGATTTGTAGATTTCAGCTAGAATCTCGTCTGCTCCCGGGGCATTCTTCGGCTTCAGGTGACGAACAATGTTTGCAATTTCTGTGGGATATGGCGGTGAGCGGTCCGCGTCATATCCTGGCTGGATTAATTCTGAAATGGGTGCGGTGGTACGTAGTGGGCGGTTTAGGAGGTTGATAAAATACGCTACCCATCTGGAAAATTTTCCTTCCGTATCAAGGATGATATGAGTTTCCGAACTGTGCAATAGCTGCTGGGGTGAATAGCGCTTGACGGAAGCCAAACGGACGAGACGAAAGAGATGACCTACATTGTCAGTAGTTGATGCAGCTTCCATCTTGCCTGCGATATCAGACCAGTAGCGGTTGCGATCATTCCGTGCTGACCGGGTTGCCTCACGTCTCAAGCGACGGGTAGTCTGGGGAATTCGTGAGACGTGCTTCTCTCGCTTTAGCGGACTTGATAGTATCTTTAGTGAGCCAGTCCTTCACAGGCTTAGAGGTAGAGCCAAGGGTAGACAAGGCGACGCGTTGAACTGAAGATTTCAGCCTAGACAAACGAGCGTCTACAGATTCATCTTCCGCAATTACGATTTGAAGTAGTTGTCTCAACATGGGGTAATCACCCAGATGTAATATCCGGTGCGTCATGATGAGGTCAACCCTCAGCCGACGATAAGATAGGGTGTATAACCCTAGTTTCTTACATCGGTCTTCGTATGGCATACCTCGTAAGTTGGGAATCAGCCTAGTGGCTACATGCTGCACCCGCTCAAGCTTTTCTACTTCGCCCCGGGTGATGGGACAGTATGCGGGAGTGCCGTACTCTAGCATTGGTCGTATTATCGAGACGAAGAGGCGAGTGGCAATCTCTTCGGACCAAGTGCTAAAGCTGCGCCTGAGAGCCCAAAGCATACGAAGGCTGTTTTGGTACAGCCTATTCGTGTTGTCAATGGACTTTAGGTCGCAGCGTGAGAGTACACCGAGGTCGCGCACGAAAGGAGCGGGATGCAACGGTTGACCAGCCACTGTGTACGTTCGGCCGTGATCACACTTACCCAACCTCATGAATTGCGACTTGGCAGGGTTGATCGGAAGGTTAACCTCTGCAGACCATGTTGCGAGGCGGTCGAGATCCTGCTGAAGTAAATCGCAATCATTGAGTGTGCGGATTACTCTCCACACTTTCAAGTCATCTGCGAACAAAGCACAATGTGATTGTAGTAGCTGAGGCACATCGTTTATATGGATTAGAAACAATATCGGGCCCAGTACAGTGCCTTGGGGCACGCCGCTGCTCGATGGATACCACTCAGTTAGATGGTTGTCCACCTGGACTCTCCACTTCCGATCAATAAGGAAATTGCTGATCCATTTGTGCAGCGAACCACCAACACCGCACATCCTCAGTCTGTCAAGGAGCACTGCATGGTTAACCTTGTCAAAAGCCTTACTGAAGTCAATGTAAATGACGTCAACCGATTGGCCTTTGTTCAGCGCTTGTAACCATTCGTGCCTCGTCAACAGTAGGTTGGTGATGCACGAACGACCTTTCAGGAAACCATGCTGTGCGGAGGTTAACAGGTTTTTCGACTCGAGAAGTTGCAGAAGGCTCTTCTTCACAATCCTCTCGAGCGTCTTTGCCAAAACTGCCGTCAGGCAGATCGGCCGGTAGTTATCCACTTTGCTTGGGTTACCACCTTTCGGGATAGGCTTTACGACTGAGCATTTCCAGTCGTCCGGTAGTAGACCAGTGGATAGTGACCTGTTAAACAGTTCAGTTACAGAAGGTGCAATTATGGTCGATAATGACTTGAGGATTAGTGGGTGTATACCATCTGGCCCAGCAGGTTTCGTCCCGTCAAGATTTGCTAGAATCTTGCGTACATCCTCAATATTGCAGTCCAGGCTGTTAAGTTCGGCTGGAGCGGTGCTCGTCGAACTCATTACAGACACCTGGTCACTTGCGAATACGGAGGCGAAGTGCGTTGCCAATGCTGACGCACGATCTGTACTTGAGGTTAGAGGCTGTCCTTCTGAGCCTTCTAACACTGGGATATTAGCTATAGGCCTTAGGCGCCGCTTCACATATGCGAAGATCCTCTTGGGAGCAGTTTTTGCGGCAGTTGCAAGCTCCTCTTCGAAGCTTCTGCGTTTGCTTGTTTTCGCCTTGTTGCAGCGATTTCGCTGGACCTTGTAGGCATTGTAGTCCTCATCAGAGCCAGATAACACGAATTTGTTCCATAGTCTACGTCGCCGTCGGGCCATTTTGTTGTACTCTTTGTCAAACCAATGTGGTTTGACTGGCCCAACTTTCCGAAATTTGAGGGGCACAAATCGGGCGCACAACGATTTCACTCCCTCTTTAATGATAGCCCAACAGGTTTCAATAGATGAATCCTGTGGTAAAGACCAGTCTATCTGGCTCGCTGCTCGAATGAGGCCATTAAAGTCCGCCTTCCAATAGTTGAAGGTTGACTCTAGTGGGAGAGGATTTGGTAGCGGTAATTCTAAACTGCCTATGATCACTGAGTGGTCACTCGCTCCCAGAGGTTCTAAGACTTGAATGTTATGTATACGCTGCTCACAGCTAGTCAACAGCAGGTCTAAGCATGATGGAGTTGCGCGCGCTGTAATGCGTGTCGGTTGGTTGATGTGCTGTGTGGCCGCGGTTTCAAATATCAACTCCGTAAACTTCCTCTCGACTTCACAGTGGCCGGGGAGAAGTTCAGCTTCAGGCCACTGTATTCGGGGCAAGTTGAAATCGCCCATGAGTAGGAACATCGGACGACTCATGTGGTTGCGGACATGCGGCAACCAGTCCAAACTGCGGCTCAGTGGGCTGCGATATACCACGCCCACGAGCAACTCGCAGCGTCTGAGGTGTATCGAACACCATAACTGCTCACATAGACCATCAGCGCTTTGATAGGCGCTCACTAGTCTCCCACACAAGGAAGACTTTATGTAAAGTAGAACGCCACCGCGATCATTTGATGGTCTATCGCAGCGGAAGCATGAGTAGCCGGTGATTTCCACTTCTTGGGCGTTTACCTCGGAGTTTAACCATGTCTCAGCAAGGCCTAATACGTCCGGTCGCTGAGAGCTTACGAAGTCGTACAGCACATCACGCTTGTTCATCAAACTGCATACATTAGTAAAGGCTACGCGCAGACCGCGGTAGGACCCGCTGGGCGCGCCTGAAGTATTAGCAACCTGTTGATCCGGATTCGTGGAGGAACCCGGGCAACTACTCGAAAATTTACAATACGGAGGTTTGTTTCTCCATCCTCCGTGCGCCGCTTTAGTTCACTCATGGCAGACTTGAGTTTCTCTCTGTCTGCCGGTTCTAAGTCAGCGCGCACGTGGATCTTCATACCCTTCAGCCTATTAAGGCGAGACAATAGTAACTTGGTACTTGCTTCTTCGGCAAATGTCACCCTCATGGGCCGACTTTTGCCCTCCATTCTCTTTCCTAGACGGGCGATCTGCTGAACTTTGAGCCCGTCCTCATTTACATCGAGTAGTTTGTCAATCAATGATTGCAAATATTCGACGTCATGTGCATAACGCACCTGAGGATTAGAATCACCGGACTCAGGTGCGTAAAAGATCATGAGGCTACGGCGCCTCAGGTCATTAGATATTGGTCTTGGTTTCTTCGATGTTTGTACTCTCCAATCGTTATCCTCAATTTGTTTATCGCACATTGGAACTTTACTGTCAGCTGAACAAATAGTAGGTCTTGAGGGAGAGTCTGATGGAACTTTAGTACCTTGTTTCCGCGATGGATGCGATGAGGTACTAGGCGTTGGCTGCTTCACTGACTGTGGTGAAGCACAAGGCGAGCTGGGCATTCTAGAGCACTTCGTTGTGTTGATCCGCTTGTTAGACGTGTCCGTTTTATTCTGCACAAGATTAGCTTGGCATTGCTTACAAACGGTCTTCAAAAATTCGCTCTTAATGCCCTGAATTGTACGAAATTGGTCTACAGTCAGACCAACGCACGAAATATGAAGCTTTGCGCTGCAGAGACTGCATGAAACCGCATTAGCTCTATGTCCGACGATCTTGCAGCAAATTCCACAGGGAGACTGCTTCGGCATTTTAAAAATAACTACGATCGATACGAGCAAATGGGTGTAATTAAGAGATACAGAAGTTATGCTGAATTATTACAGATAGTTACGAAGTATAACGCTAAATGACTAGCTAGAATTAATTATGTGAATTAGAGGAGGACACTGTTATAACAATAAAATCAACGAGATAAAATTGGCCTAACAGGATAAGGGCACGCTTCCACTAAGATCAAAAAATGGCTAGGAGGACAAAAAACGAGAAAATTACCGCTAATATATATCTAAATATATCACCGGATAACGCAGAATCAAATATTATATCGAACTATATAACTTACGACAAGATATAACAATATATGACACAATAATAATCAAAGAACTGGCCTGAGAGCAGAGCGAACGTTTTTTCAAACCGAAGGCTGTGGCCTTGACCTTGATGATGATGATGATGAGGATGATGATGATGATGATGATGATGATGATGATGATGATGATGATGATGATGATGATGATGATGATGATGATGATGATGATGATGATGATGATGATGATGATGATGATGATGATGATGATGATGATGATGATGATGATGATGATGATGATGATGATGATGATGATGATGATGATGATGAGGATGATGATGATGATGATGATGATGATGATGATGATGATGATGATGATGATGATGATGATGATGATGATGATGATGATGATGATGATGATGATGATGATGATGATGATGATGATGATGATGATGATGATGATGATGATGATGATGATGATGATGATGATGATGATGATGATGATGATGATGATGATGATGATGATGATGATGATGATGATGATGATGATGATGATGATGATGATGATGATGATGATGATGATGATGATGATGATGATGATGATGATGATGATGATGATGATGATGATGATGATGATGATGATGATGATGATGATGATGATGAAGATGATGATGATGATGATGATGATGATGATGATGATGATGATGATGATGATGATGATGATGATGATGATGATGATGATGATGATGATGATGATGATGATGATGATGATGATGATGATGATGATGATGATGATGATGATGATGATGATGATGATGATGATGATGATGATGATGATGATGATGATGATGATGATGATGATGATGATGATGATGATGATGATGATGATGATGATGATGATGATGATGATGATGATGATGATGATGATGATGATGATGATGATGATGATGATGATGATGATGATGATGATGATGATGATGATGATGATGATGATGATGATGATGATGATGATGATGATGATGATGATGATGATGATGATGATGATGATGATGATGATGATGATGATGATGATGATGATGATGATGATGATGATGATGATGATGATGATGATGATGATGATGATGATGATGATGATGATGATGATGATGATGATGATGATGATGATGATGATGATGATGATGATGATGATGATGATGATGATGATGATGATGATGATGATGATGATGATGATGATGATGATGATGATGATGATGATGATGATGATGATGATGATGATGATGATGAAGATGATGATGATGATGATGATGATGATGATGATGATGATGATGATGATGATGATGATGATGATGATGATGATGATGATGATGATGATGATGATGATGATGATGATGATGATGATGATGATGATGATGATGATGATGATGATGATGATGATGATGATGATGATGATGATGATGATGATGATGATGATGATGATGATGATGATGATGATGATGATGATGATGATGATGATGATGATGATGATGATGATGATGATGATGATGATGATGATGATGATGATGATGATGATGATGATGATGATGATGATGATGATGATGATGATGATGATGATGATGATGATGATGATGATGAAGATGTTGATGATCATGATTTTACTCTACAGTAACAATGCAATACGCATTCTAGAATATTTAAATAAAGATGGGTATCTGAATCACTAAACGTTTAAAGTGACGATTTACACTTATGTTTGGTTGCACTTCAACCATCCTTTGGGACTTGTAAAGCAATCGGCTTTTTACCTGTATTACGTTATTGTTCATTGTATCAATGTTCCATTTGTTATCTGCTTGCTTTCGGTGACCGGGTGCTAAGTGAATTTCCGCACGATCTAGACTTCGTGTCTAGCACTAAGACGCACTACCTAGGGCTCGCTCAGGTAATTCGTTCTATTATTACTTGGCATTCACATGCCAAATATTAACACCGTGAGATATGTAAGAAATTCCAAGGAAGCATGCTTGTGAACACATTAACTAATAACAGCAATGCGTCAGGGTCTACGGTGTCCTATCGGATAGCTTTTCAACTACAAGTGGCGTTCTTCAGGGTTGTCCGATTTCCCCATTTTTGTTCAATTTCGTCGTGGATTCTATTATGGAGTGTTCCCTTGCGGAATCTCACGATGTAGGCGTTGAAGTGCTGCCTGGTGAAAGGTTAGTTGATCTAGATTATGCGGACAATATCGTCTTGCTTTTCGATAATGTTGATGCGGCACAATCAACCCTGAATAGCCTATCCAGAGTGGTTCCATTATTTGGTATGCACTTCGCACCTTCAAAGTGCAAAGTGTTGCTGCAGGACCACCAGCCACTTGATGACCCCTTGACGCTTGCTAACTAGGAACTCGAGGTGGCTGATCAATTCACTTATCTTGGCAGCTGCGTCAGCAATGATGGGCGCATAGAAACTGACGTGAGCTCACGCATTGCAAAGGCCAGAGCTGCTTTCTTGAACCTGAGTCATCTTTGGCGACAGAAGGGAGTTTCCCTCTGTCTGAAAGGCCGTGTATACAAGGCCACAGTGAGGGCCGTTCTGCTCTATGGTAGTGAGACTTGGCCCCTTCGGTCTGAAGATCTGAGGCGCCTTCAAGTCTTTGATCATCGTTGGCTGAGAAGCGTTGCCAGTGTCGGATAGCAACAGCGTGTCTGCAACGATGATGTGCGTAGGCGAGTACTAGGCAATGATAAACATGCTAGCTCCCTAGAACAACAAATAGCAGTGAATAAGTTGCTTTGGCTCGGGTACGTGCTACGTATGCTTGGTCACCGCTTACCTAGGAGGGCCTTGTTTAGTCTGCCAAATGTAAGGTGGCGCAAGGCTCGAGGTGGACAGAAGTTGACTTGTCAATGGGAAATGAAGACACTGACGACCAAACTGGGTACCGTTGGTCCGTCTCGCCTTCCGGGTTGGAGTCCACGTGACTCACCTTGTGCTTGGCTCGAGACCTTACAGGACATGGCTCGCAACCGACACCAGTGGCGCGTCTGCTGCCGTCTCCTAATCGGATTGTCTGTTTAAAGTGTGTTTCGTGCTGAGTTATCTGTGGGATAATGTCTGATTATGACGCGTGGCAGTGAAAGCCGCAAGGAAGCTGTCTCGCCGATGCCGCCTTATCTTTGCACGATAGCCAGCTGTTTGTGACGGTATGTTGTCTACTCAAGGTGTAGGCGCCTTGTCCCTGAATGTTTGCTTAGGGCATTAAGGTTTTCAGGTAAGTCCGTTTTCTCTCCCTCTTCTTATTCTTTATTTCATAGGTCCTCATGGTTGTATGGCAGCGAAGCATCAGTCCAAATGGCTGATGTACTGCTGTTGATGATGATGATATTTGTTAAGCGGTGTGTATCACTTAGGTTGTACCGGAAGACGACTCTCAAATTCTCATGTGTATCTGAAATTAAATAATACAACTTGCGATCCACTCAAGAACGTGATGTTCGATTTCCTGTGTTGAAGCCTGTGATGAACAACGCCGTTATCTAGGCCGGCGAAGGCTCTGTGATTTTCAGAAAAAGGTCATGAAATCCAGTCGCAATATCAGTCATTTTAGCACACGCACGACAGTGATCCACAAGATTTATTGGCGTGACTACAGTTTACCAGACTACACACACACACACACACACACCGAACAAGTATGAGTCACGCTTCCTACCCACGACGCACCACATTGGCTGGTGTCCGCTCGCGATACAACTATGCGCGTACGATGCGTGCGCCATTGAATATTTCCTATTTATCTCACCGCGTAGCTTCGTTTCTGTCCACCCTATTCTGTTCGGTTACGACGCGTTCAATAGCTGGTGATTGGCTTGATCGAAATTGCATTACTCTGCCTGGGAATATTCGAGAATACATCTACAAAGAACTTTCTGTCTGACTCTTCTGGCTCTTCGACGAATACCACATGCCGCGTACTTATTGAGAACTCCGGGAGGAATGTCAGAAGACTATGTTCTTATGGTCCGGTGTGGCTATGCCCTTAAATAAGGGGGCGATAACACTATACGTTCACGGAAAGTGGACCTGTTGCTTAACAGTACAATGAAAAATGAACAATGATTTATCAAGGGATAAAAGCGAGTGCTTGACACGTCGCGTAGAATGGTTGGAGTGAATATGATGAAATCAAAATATATCTGGGTCATCTATCAAACGTCTGTCGAGATGAATAGTTTGATAATTAACATCAGTGTAAAATTTAAAAAGAAACTTATCAAGCGTAAACGTTCAGAAAGACACTGGGGTGCAGTGATCGTTGATGTAAGGAGTGGGAAAAGTAAAATTTGGTCACTCACTTAGGTCCACTTGATGCATAAATCCTGTTGAAAAGCATGCTTGGAGTAATCCACAATGGAGGAGTTTAGGTAACAAAATGTTGGGAGCTGAGAGCAACATCCAATCGTTTTTTGAAAAGGTCCAAGGTAGGAAAGGATACAACTGAGTCTGGGTGTGCGTTCCAGGCTTGGCAAACCCGAAAGGAAAAGTAATTCCGTCGACACTCTAGACGGCTATTTTGTTCCCTCAAATTTAAGCAGTTGCCCCTGAGTTGCGCGTTGTGGCTAAGTTTCAGCAAATGGCGGCATACGTGGTTGGGGTCACTCAGTATCTGATACGCTAACATGAGATCCCCGCGCAGCCTTCGATAGCGTCCGCTGAAAATTCCCAGCAACTTCAGCCTTCGGTGATAAGAGTGATAGCGCAGCCCTTCACATTCTTTGTTGCTCTTCGTTGAGATGCCTCTAACATCTCTAGGTCGCGCTTCAAGCATGGTTGCCAAGTTTGGATTGCGTATTCAAAATGCGGGCGCACGTAGGAATTGTGCATCATTAGGAAAATTGATGGATCATATCTCCCGAATGCCCTTCGCAGCATGCCGACGTGCTGGTTGCCTCTTTCCGCAGCTACCTCAGCCTGTTTTGAACAGTTGAGGTCACTCTGTACGAGCACACCAAAGTCATGTTCCTGGGAGCTGGTCTGCAATCCGTTTGTCCCAAGCAAATATGTGTAGTTATGTCTAAGACGTAACTGTACAACTCGACATTTGTCTACGTTGAATGTTAGGGCGTTTTGAACTGACCAGTTCGACACTGTGTTAAGACCGCAATGGAGCCGTTCGTGGTCGTCCGGTCCCCTGATCCTTCGCCATATCTTGATATCATCAGCGAAAAATAGGAAATCGGAAGTAATTGATCTCTCCAAATCGTTAATACACACCAAGAATAGACGAGGTCCAAGAACTGAGCCTTGTGATACTCCCCACGCCACATCCATTGCATCAGACAATGATTCTCGAACTGTCACCACTAGCCGTCGTTCATGTAGAAAATTGCTAGTGCTACTCAGGTTTGGGTCGCCGATGCCGTAGTTCCAAAGCTTCTGAAGGAGAATGCGATAGTTTAAGCGGTTAAACGCTTTTGAAAAGTCCAGGTAGATGACATCAACAGCTTGCGTCCAGCTGTTACGTGCTATTAATAGGCTAGTATTACACGAATGCTTTTGACGAAATCCATGTTGCTCTGGAGCTAATAAGTTGTGGCTTTCCAGATACTGCATCAGCAGGGTCTTACATGGTAAGAGGAGGAATAATTCGTGACAGCCCATTCTCGGCCAGAAGATTACCCTCCACGTATCCGGAAAAGTACAGGACTGTCGTTGAACTCCTTAGGTAACAAATGATATCATGCATTCCCCTGATTTACTCGAGATAAGAGCTCAAAATTCGTGCACACGGAACTCTGAAGTGGAGGCGGATCCTCAATAGCGCTTACTAGTCGCAATAAAGCACGGCTCATCCGCCACTATGATACAGTCTCGTAACACCAGTAGGAAACTTTGGCCACCATGACCATGTCTTGACCCATCACCAGTGGTGAAACGAAGCAAGGTCGAAGCGGCCGTCCAGCGCCTTGTGGGCAGTTTGACTGGGGACTAACTGCATCGGTTTGCCCTATTTGGTACTATTGATCCCATCAAGCACATTTGACTGATTTCATACAAAGTGTCGGTTGACATGCGAGCTGCCGCCTACATCGCTCTCTGTTGAGCGTTACCAACTCCAGGTTAACCGTGGGTGTGTTTGGAGACAGTTACATAGTCAACAGAGTGGTAGCACCAAGGATGACCGGCAAATCCTGTTATCGAAGAGCTAAATGCAAAACTTTGTCATGGACTAGTGTCGCAGTTGACTTTTCAAACGTGTTATTTTCGTAAATAATTTTTCCCCTTGGTATGGAAATATTTGGGTGTTGCTCCTCCCAATACTTGTACACCACGACCGCGGTTTCGTCCTGGTTTGCACTCCTCAACAGACGTTGCGAGTCACAACACAACCACACAGCGTGTTCGCTAAATTCAACTTTGAATTGCTTCCCGGTGCCAAACGTTGCTCGCGGATCCCAGTAGCATAGCGTTCAGGGCGTCAGCCGTGAACTACTAGACTCTGAGTTCCAACCTAGCTCAGACTATCTCCAACTGAGGAGTCCAACTCAGGACGAAACCGCGGTCGTGGTGTGCCAGTGTTGGGGGATCGACACCCAAATATTTCCATTCCGGGTACGGTCCTCACGATCGGAATGACCGAAGTTTACCACTAAGTGTACCGAG